AAAATGTCCTTTGTTTTTTTTCCTCTTATGCCCACCAAGGCAGTATTTATTTGATAAAAACTACAGTAATATTGTTTAAGATCCCTACAATTAAAAAATATATATATATTAATATTTTTTTAAAAGGTAATTTATAGAGCCCGACCGATATATCGTTTTACCGATATTATCAGCCGATATGAGCCTGTCGCCGATATATCGGTATCGACGAATATGCCGCCGATATGAAAATTTTTTACAGAACATATAACACAGATAAAATGCTTGAAATGGTGTAATTACTTAGTTTGTCCAGCAGAGCGTGCTCCATTGTAAAGCTTAAGTCTATGGAAAACCATTAAAACTTTGAATGGCCATATCTCCATAACGGCACGGCGAATCTGCACTAAATTCGGGAGATCCTGAGGAAACTTCTCGAACATGAATCGAGTGTACGTCTAGAGGCCCGCTTTCGAATGAGACCACTTTATTGTTCAGTGCACTGATGCCAGACTCATTTTGGATAATAAAGTTTATTGTTAAGTAGTTAAATGCCCTGCCTCCTTTACATATATTTGTCACGTCATTATAAGTGTTTGATCACCACATTTGAGTGATCATTGCAAAAAAAATTGTATGTATATATATATTCTGTTTATGTATATACTGTATTCTATATACTGTTTAGTACCAGTCAAATGTTTGGACCCTCGAATGGGAAAGTGTCCAAACTTTTGACTGGTACTGTACTATAATATACACAAAGAATATCGGCTGATATATCGATATCGGCCTTTTTTTACTCCCCAATATCGAATTTTTCATTACTCCATTCTTTAGGGCCTTTCACACTGCAAGAACCTTTTCATAGTACCAGAACTAATTGTGGAACTACCCACTTTTCGGCGTATTCGCACCGCCGGAACTGGGAGCGATTTTAGTACCGGACTGCCTTTTTCGAGAACCAAATTAGCTCCTTGGGGTCTTCTAATTTAAATAGTACTGGGAAATAGTTCGCGCAAAATCGTCCCAGTACTTTAGTACCGTACATTTAGTTCTGGAGCTAAAGCGGTGCGAAAGGGCCTTTTGTCACATGATTGTCCAGAAATTATTTTGTAACATTAAAAAAGTCTTTACTGTCACATTTGATTCCTTCAAAAAAATTTCTATTCTATTCTATTCTTTCCCCAAATCCAGGCTGGTACAATCCAAAAAAAAAAAAAACCTTGTCATGTCAGATGATCTCTTCCGGTCTAAGTGGGCAGATTTTGCCTAGATGATTTTGGCTGCAATGTGAACCTTTATGTTATTAGTCAAAAGCCTAGCAATGCAAAACCACCCTCTCCCCACATCAGAACAAGTGCAAACAAGGCAAAACTGTAAAGGCAGCAACCCACCATCTGGCCCAAATACTTTTTCCATATTCCACTGCACAACCTATTATCTATGTGTGTGTATCTGAGAAAGAGATACGTCTGCGAGTTTGTGTGTTTGTTTGACAGAAAGAGAGCAGAGAACCTCCATCTCTGATGTGCCACAGGTGCTGTAAGCCCCGCCGGAAATAAAGCTTCTTAAATACAATGAAAACACAGAAGTCAGCCAGTCGGCTGCTAAATGATATACAGGTGATGAAGGGAGAGATGAAGGAAGCATGGAGCAGCATAAGAGAAGAGGAAACGGGGACGGCCGCAGGTGTGAGGGCACCCAAGAAAAATGCTTTAATGTGTAATGAATATCTAAGGAAGAAGGCCAAACCAACAAAGGGAAGATGGCAAAGGTCTTGTGGACAGAGACTGAGGCCGAAGTGCAGGAATCGGGTTGCAGAAGAAGGAAGAGTCTCTGTTCGAGAATGTTTGTGGAGCGTTCCGGAACACTGATAAAGGTGTGTGAGCATGAGCACATTATACTCTTGAGGTTCCGCTGTCCGCTTCACATTCCTGTCACCCGGAAAGAGAGGGAGTTCCCTTAACCCTTCAGGGACAGCAGGGGGTGTAAGATGCTTGGGGTCTTCTGACCCCGGAGGAAAGGGATAAACTCATCCATCTTGGTACTGAGGCTTTATCTGTCAGGTTGTGTTGATGTTTGGTGTCGTGCCGCAGGTTTCCTGTCTGTCTGAGGGTGTGCAGACAAAAGAAACGTTTCTCATCAGACACATAAATTATCCAAAAGCCCCTCCATGCCACCTGATACTGAAGGAATGCCTCTGCTCTGATCTCAGCTTATAACAGGCATGGAGAACACACAAACCCTCAATAAATCACACACAGGACCTAAAACCACTCAGGGTATCAGAGAAAATGCTAATTAATTTCCAGCATGCTGTCGGCCACTTGTATCAGTGACACTGTGACACTACTACATGTAAAGGCCTATTTGCAGTGTGAAAGTTCAGTATGGCAAGATATTGAATATGTTATGTTCCTTATATATTCCTACAGTAATATTGTTTAATATCCCTACAATTAAAATATGTATATATTTGAATATTTTTTAAAAGGTAATTTATAGAGCCCGACCGATATATTGTTTTGCCAATATTATCGGCCGATATGAGCCTGTCGCTGATATATCGGTATCTGCGAATATGCCGCCGATATGAAAATTTTTTACAGAACATATAATGCAGATAAAATGCTTGAAATGGCGTAATTACTTACTTTGTCCAGCAGAGCGTGCTGGAATATTCTGGAATCGGATACTTAAGGTCAGGAATTGGATACATGTAAAATTTAAAATTTTGATTTAGTTGGCGAAAAGGGACTTTTAAAAATGTATATATCTTTGAATCATTCATTACAAAGATTTATTCGAAAATGCTGATTCATCCAGTAATAAAACAAGTAAATCTTGAGTGAGTCATTGAATCATTCATTTATAAATTGCATGTTATTATGTTAAGTTTTCTAATGAGAAAAAAACTAAATTGATCCAGAATAGTCTATTTTGTAACAGCTAGTCGAGTCCATTTTTATGTAGCCTGTTTTTTTTGTTCATGGTATTCAGCTGCAACTAAATGTTTTGCAAAAAGAGACACAAAATAAATATTTTGATATCTAAATGTTTGACTATTCTTGGTCTAATATATATATATTTTTTAACCGCACTGGAATCGAAACTGGGAATCTATAATAATCCGAATCAATAAGCAGAATCGGAATTGGAATTGATCAAATTCAAATGATACCCAACCTTATTGCAGAGTTATTATTGTTAACTAAAATTAACTTACTGTTAATTTAAATTAACCTAAATAAACCTAAAATTAAAACATTTTTAAATAGTAATTTAAAAAAGACATAAATGACAAAAAAGTAAAACTAAAAATAAAAAATGTACTGTAAATAAAATAAATAGTACAAACTATAATTGTGCATAAATAACACTGGCCAGGATTTTATCACACTGTAAAAAAGCATTTTCCAAAAATTGTCTGTGTTTTGTGTCACTTTGTTCCATTACTTGGTGCGAGCAGTCCTTAAATCCGACAAAAGTGCACTAAAAGACAAAGCAAATATATAGCAAAGCCAAACAGCACGACTTTCTTTTCAAAAACACACACAAAAACCACATACAACTGGTTGTAAGCCTGTGGTGAGCTACATTGCAAGAGAAGAGGGAACAGAGTCAAGCAAAGAGAAACAAAATAAAAAGCCACAAAAAATTAAATTCAGAGCGAGAATGAGCACAGACTGAGAAGAGCGAAAGAAAGAGAGGTGAAGTGCATTAAAGCCATCCACGATGCTCCAATAAAAGGCTCTGAATGAGCAGAGTGGTAATCATAAAAAACTCCATCTATTCTGAGCCAGTCCATTAAGCAGGCGGGGGGAGAGCGAGACAGTCCATTAAGCAGACCAGGGGGGAGAGAGAGCACGTAAGAGAGAAACAAATGGCTATACTTCACTAACTCCACAAAGCTCCATAAATGCATTCAACACACTGTAGCCATACAGCTCTGCTCATATGCCATTTCATCAGAACATTGGGGCTATTCTAGATGAGAATTTTATTGAAGGAGAAGGGGGAAAAGTGAGCAAATGAATGAAAATGCAACAAAAGAGAAGGGACGCTTATGAAAGAAAACAAAATAGTGAATCAATGTCTCGCTGCTGGTTTCAGTCTGGAAGCCTTAATGGAAACCTTGAGACAAAGACCTTCTGCAAAACTACCACAAAAAAAGCCTCTCTCATTAAGAATAAGCTACAATGCACCGAGAAACCTTTGGTTTAAGTATGTTTTCAACTGAATATTATTTTAAAGGTGATGTGTGTGTGTGTGTGTGTGTGTGGAAACGTGTTTGACAACAGCACCAAACAGAAGTTGTGGCTTGGAAAACATGTACATAAACACACTTAAATTACACTGTAACTCAACAACATTGGGGCTATTCTAGATGAGAATTTTATTGAAGGAGAAGGGGGAAAAGTGAGCAAATGAATGAAAATGCAACAAAAGAGAAGGGACGCTTATGAAAGAAAACAAAATAGTGAATCAATGTCTCGCTGCTGGTTTCAGTCTGGAAGCCTTAATGGAAACCTTGAGACAAAGACCTTCTGCAAAACTCCCACAAAAAAAGCCTCTCTCATTAAGAATAAGCTACAATGCACCGAGAAACCTTTGGTTTAAGTATGTTTTCAACTGAATATTATTTTAAAGGTGATGTGTGTGTGTGTGTGTGTGTGGAAACGTGTTTGACAACAGCACCAAACAGAAGTTGTGGCTTGGAAAACATGTACATAAACACACTTAAATTACACTGTAACTCAACTTTACCCAGGTTTAATGTGCACCCATGGTTAACATATTTAACAAAATCTCACTGATAAAGACATTTTATAAGATCAATAGGATGCAATGTGGTGCTTTTAACTGCTATATGAGCTGGACACCGCCTGTACGCCATGTTTAGCTGTGCAAGATGTTTTCAGCAGAGTCTGTAAAGTTGTGGTATTTATAGCAGCATGCTGTACATTGATTGAACATTAGACATAATAGTGATGTATAATAATAGTTTTTAGCTGGTATATTATGTGATGACATGAGGTCAGCACTCTCAAAGAGCATTGAGATATAAGAGCATGTGTGTCAGTGCAGTTTTACCATGGCTCTGCCATTCACATCTTCCATCTGAGGAGGACCAAGCGCAGAATCGCTACTGCTTCGTACCAGCAGAGGGGTACCTGAAACACAAACACACAAAATAAAATAAAACATAAAATACTATTACAATATATAGTTTAGGTAGCAAAGGGACCAATTCTCACTATTAACTAGTTGCTTATTAGCATGCATATTACTAGCATATTGGCTGTTTATTAGTACTTGTAAAGCACATATTCTGCATGACCATATTCTACATCCCTAATTCTACCCAATACCTAGCGAGAATTGGACCTAAAAATAAAGTGCGTTCATAGTTTATTACATACAGGTGCATCTCAATAAATTAGAATGTCGTGGAAAAGTTCATTTATTTCAGTAATTCAACTCAAATTGTGAAACTCGTGTATTAAATAAATTCAGTGCACACTGACTGAAGTAGTTTAAGTCTTTGGTTCTTTTAATTGTGATGATTTTGGCTCACATTTAACAAAAACCCACCAATTCACTATCTCAACAAATTAGAATATGGTGACATGCCAATCAGCTAATCAACTCAAAACACCTGCAAAGGTTTCCTGAGCCTTCAAAATGGTCTCTCAGTTTGGTTCACTAAGCTACACAATCATGGGGAAGACTGCTGAACTGACAGTTGTCCAGAAGACAATCACTGACACCCTTCACAAGGAGGGTAAGCCACAAACATGCATTGCCAATATATATATATATACATGTATATATATATATATATATATGTATGTTCCTTATAGATGTTGTTAACTTAATTAGTTATGAAAAATATTTTAACGCAGTTAACGCACTGGCCCTGCCCCCATATCTTACATTTCATTCAGTTGATTGTTGACAAATATGATGCAGGGCAACAACTCCATAAATGCAGTTATGCCCTAAAATTCAAGATATTGGGGTAAAATGTCTATTGTCTGTTTTTGCTCAGTTTTGCCAACAAAAATATTACCTATAAAACCACAGCAGAATAGTTGTGCGTCTCAGAGCAACAAAGCGGTGTTTAGTTTCTGAAAGAATCCACGTTTTGAACGAATCGTGTGAATCAATTATTCAAAGGCCCATTCATAAAGTGAGCCATTTACTAAATTCCTGAATGAATCATCAGTTAGAACGACTCGAATGAAAGACTCAGACATTTACCGCCACCTGCTGGCAGATTTAGTTTCTTATTTAGAGTATTATCGTATTACTTCATTTAAAATAAAATAAAATAAAAATAAAATATAAAAAAGGGTATATTTTAAAGGGATAGTTCACACACACAAAAAAATTTAAATATGTCATCATTTACTCAAACCTGAATGACTTTCTTTTGTGGAACATAAAAAAGGTATTTTGAAGTTGGTTGGTAACAAAGCTGTTTTGGTTACCAGTGACCTTCATTGCATTAAGGAAAAAAGATGTTTCTCAACTTATCATCTTTTATGTTCCATTTATGCTAGGCCTCTCATTTAACACAAAAAATAGGTTTTAATAATCTTTTGGGGGTATTATCACAGCCAAATGTAATTTGCGATTAATTCGATTAATTAATCGACACCATGTAATTAATTAGATTAAAAATTTTAATCGACTGACAGACCTATACAGTAAATTAACATACTCTCCAGAAGAACAATTCACTAAAAATGTTTTTTTATTGGTCTTATGAAGTATTCTAATTTGTTGAGATAGTGAATTGGTGGGTTTTTGTTAAATGTGAGCCAAAATCATCACGATTAAAAGAACCAAAGACTTAAACTACTTCAGTCTGTGTGCATTTAATTTATTTAATACACGAGTTTCACATTTGAGTTGAATTACTGAAATAAATGAACTTTTCCACGACATTCTAATTTATTGAGACGCACCTGTATACTTCTATGAAAATGTATAGTATATTTTTTACCACATACTTTTGAAACATATGCAAATGTATTGTTTATAATTATGTATTGTTATATAGGTATAGACAACCAGTCAAATTTTTGGATTAGGATTTTTTTCAGGAAAAGATGCATTAAACTGAACAAAGTGCAAGTAAGGACATATATTACGTTACAAAATATCGGTTTCAAATAAATATTGTTCTTTTGAACGTTCTATTAATCAAAGAATCCTGAAAAATTCCACAAAAATATTGATAATATTAATAACTGCTATATTAGAATGATTTCTGATGGAACATGTGGCACTGAGGTAATGGCATAACGACTCGAATGAAAGACTCAGACATTTACCGCCACCTGCTGGCAGATTTAGTTTCTTATTTAGAGTATTATTGTATTACTTCATTTAAAATAAAATAAAATAAAAATAAAATATAAAAAAAGGGTATACTTTAAAGGGATAGTTCACACACACAAAAAAATTTAAATATGTCATCATTTACAAGCTACTATTTGTAATGTCTACTTAATACTTTCTCATTTAACACAAAAATAGCTTTAAATAATCTTTTCGGGGTATTTTCACAGCCAAATGTAATTTGCGATTAATTCGATTAATTAATCGACACCATGTAATTAATTAGATTAAAAATTTTAATCGACTGACAGCCCTAATATATATATATGCGATATAGCTAAAAAATGTATCAACGATATAATGTTTCATATCGTTCGGTATCGATAATTATTGACATTTTTTATAGCCATTTTTAAAACAAATAGCAATAGAATTTTTTTTTTTATTTAACCATATTTCATATTCAATCATATTTGTCCGTCTAAAAAATGCACTGAATATGCGTTCTGAGTGAATGGCTTGGTTTCGGTTTTCACCTAAACTCACCGGTGATATTGCAACTGCATATTTGAGATAAAAATACCCAACATTCGCATTATATATTCAGTTTTTGTTGCTGTGTGGTTGCTAAGGTGTTCTGCGTGGTTGCCAGTTAGGGATTTTTCAAACTTTCTAGATGACATGCATTCTCAAATATATAAAATTTTTTCCCCCAAAATCTGAAAAACGTTTTTTCCTAAAATATAAAGAAAGCTATATATTATGTAAATTTATACTGTGAATTTTTTTATATATGAATATTTTAATAAATAATCTTATAATTACACCATCTAATTCTTCAAATGCCTGTTTTGACAGTCTTTCTGAATTAGCAGTATAGTCTGATGAAATATTACTGTTTTTTTACTACGTCTAAAATATTATTGGATTTTTATATATACAGTATGTGTGTGTGTGTGTGTGTGTTTCATCTTCTATTAATGACTAATACAACAGCCAGTATTTACAGTATATGTTAGAACTGATAATCAATATGATTGTCAATATTATTTTTTTCAGTTTTATTCTGTTTCGAAGAGGCAACATTTTTATCCCAAATTTGTCACATCAACATAACATAACATGACATAGCATAACAGAACATAAAACATAACATAACATACATTTATATTGCAAAAAATAAAACAATTATGTCTGAAATATTATTGAATTTGTATTGAATATCATTGAAAATAATTTATTTTCAAATTATTTTTAATTTGACACTGTTAAATAGAATTGAAAAAAAAAGATAAAGGATGTCAGATGCAGTGCATTTAATGTTTGTAAAGGCATCTTAAACCAAAAACTTAAAGATGACCATATGACCAATATGGTCATGACCAGGGTTTGAAATTAACTTTTTCACTCACCAGCCAATTAGGATACTAAATTTTTAAGTTACCGGCCATTCATAATTTCTACTAGCCAAAAAAATTTAACTAATAAATTATTAAAAAAAGGCCAGAGGTAAGCCAACAGCTTGAGTCTGTCCACACTGGATGCGACAAAGTGACCATTGCAAATCATCTGTACTTTGTCAAACAGTAGGCCTACGTCATAAATAGAACGAGGCATCAGTTTTCTGTCGGGGATTTGTCGTGCTGTGCTGCGCCACATCCAGTGTAGGCCGCATCACAGATTATAATGGGTTCTATAGTATTTTGTCTTCAGGCATTTTTTTTACTTTTCGTTATTGCTTCAATGCAAAGGAAACCAGTGTGTCCGCCAGGCTGGCGGATGCACCGGGTAGCACCGCTTCACACTTTTGGAGTATTTGCTTTTTGCAGTTTCACGTGGGCTGTAATTTAAAAACAGCGCCTAAAATGAGGTCTCCCTCGCTTCGGCGATCGACCCACCGGGAATGTCTCGGTGCTCCCGATGGCCAGTAGCTACATTGCTGGGTATGTTCAAGTAAGCTAGATGCCCAGATGCTGCGCAATTAGGCTTATTTAATATATCATGATGAGTCTCGAGTTCAGTATTTACACTAAATCTGTGCAGATTTGGCTTACATGAATTTCCTCAAGAAATTAATTAGTAAACATAATTTATGAAAAGTACCCTGCCAAATTGGCTAGTAATTTGACAGCGTTCCCCGCCACAGCTGATTTTTACCCACATTTGG